GAAAGAATATGGAAAAATAAAGAGAGAGGAGGGGGGGGAGGTGAGTAAGAGGAGAAGTCGCGTCGTACGAGACGTCGATCGCAAGCTGTTACACGATTCCGACATATTTCGTCACATCGGTCCTCGACTCGCAAAGAATCCGAAGGACGACTTCAAATCGTTCATCCCGTATAATCACGCGCGATTGCGCGTAAAGAAAGAAATCGTCGGATGTATAAGTATAAATAAGGATTTTGGGAAGCGATATAAGGATCCCGAGGCGACCTCCCTGAAAGATCTAATTTAGTTGAAAGGATGAGAATCCTAAGATATAGTCTCGAGCCATGGGAGGTAAGTTTAAAGGGAGCACGTGGGGGAGAATTGGAAGGATTCTGTAATCCAAGTAAGGAGACACGATAGAAACGCCGAATAATTAGCCTCATATATACGTGAGCGCAATTTCCTTTGAAAGAAAAAACAAAGAACAGATGAGCAACACGTCCAAATATAGACATACCCCTTTACGCTGTATCGCGCTTCATCTTCGAAAGAAAATTTCCTTCACATTTCTCACCGGCGGGTAACTTATTTATACCTGAACACGCGACGGTCTTCAAGTTCACCGCGAGCTTCCTTATCAACAACTCAACAAAGTCCGCGCAGGAAAAAAAAAAATCAATTTAGATATGCACACCTCGTGCTGTATGCATAAGCAATGGTACATACATACCGATCTGTCAGTCGGTGCTGTAGGCAGTCGGGAATAGCAACAAGTATCAACGCGCCGCGTTGAAAATATCGATGCACGTGGGATATCGCATGCACGGATGCAATGTTAGCGCGACGCACGCGCATGCATTATCATTGCGCGTGTTATTACCGTGAGAAGTAAGTATGTTACGTAGCGTTAACAGTGGCTTAGTGGATGTGGGTGAGTGAGTTTGTGACGCATTTCTCTGATGTGCAATAAGGTGTGCGTAAAACGTCTCTCTCTCTCTCTCTTTCGGACGGCTCGGCAGGCTTTACTTCTAACGGAAACACTTGACTAGGAATTAGCGCCGCCAACTAGTACGTACATGCAGACGAGGGGATTATGTTAATACGGTGGCCGATGGCTCGCCGACATTCGCGTATGCGCGCGCGATGACATTTGGATTTGCGGGCGGTGGCGACGAATATGGTCTACCGTGGCGAAAAACAAGACGAAGCCGCCGTCGCGGTCGGCTCAAAGTTCCACGAGTTAACGCATAAGTACGTTTAAGTCGATTATTCCTTGAGTCCGTGATAATGCGATTTCCGCTTTTCGGGAGGGGGGGGGGGTTATCGAGAGGGAGTAATCGCCGCATTCTAAATATAAACCCAGGGATCTCTAATGAAGTGCCGCTGCGAGATTGACACTGTTTAGATTCGGGACTGCGTCAATGTTAGTATTGAATTGTGATCGATAATCTTAATCACCTGTCTTAATCGCTTGTCTAAAATTAGCGGGCACGCAAATGTTAAAAATATCTCTTCAATCGCTATATATCCAATCGATATATATGTGTATGTAATATATAAGTGTGTGTGTGTGTGTGTGTGCACAAGAAACTGATATCAAATTGCAGCTGATAATTTTAATCGCAACGTCAAGACCATTATCAGTTCCTAAGAATAGGGCGGGCATAAACGTTGACTTCCTTCTTGATTAAACGCGACAGTAACGCAGTCGCACGCGAAGTTTCATGCGACTGAAAAGATTTCGCGATTAACATATCATCCTTTTATTTAAATATACATCACGGTCCGGTCAATTTTGATACACCCTATTTTCCCCGCTTCTAAAGGTTCCTTCTCGAACTCTTGTGCAAATTAAAATCTAAGTTAAATATAAATGATATATAACATTTAACGTATTTTTAAATCGAAAGAGAGAAAGAAAGAGAGAGAGAGAGGGAAGATATTATTTAGTTATTCGGTGAAAGCGCCATGAGTTCTATCGCCATTTATAATGAATCCTTATAAACGCATCAAATTGTCAATTAAAGATTAAAATTCTCACGCCGGTATATCGGAGCGCGTGATCGTTGTTATCCGAGATAAACGATTCTCTACGAGTGGGATATAAACAGTTTTTCAACAAAGTATTATGTCTATATTGGGGCTGATTAAAAGTCACGTTTAACGATAAAGACCGACAAGCGCTTTACGTAATCCTCGTATAGCCCGACGAAATTCGGACGAAACGTTAAAATGGAGTCGAACAAAGAACGTACGATGCGAAAAACGAAAGAGTCACTCCTGAAAAGTAAATAAACAAGATTTGTGTATGCGTACAGATAAGAAGGCGAAAATTTTCCATTTCAACGGCAAAGGTGTTTAACGCGTAAACCTAACATTTTTTTTTTTAAACACTCGCCATAACCGAGAGAAAAGCCGCTTCGTAAGGACGAGTCGCAATCGAAGACTCGATAGATACCATTGCGCGAAATATTTCCGATGCATCATTTGCATGGGAAGTCGAGGGAAAACTAGCAATTCGCGGTAGCGGTTATGGTAACGCAAAGCAGCGGGCTTATCGTGCCGTTCGATTGGCTCGTATAATTCTTGGCGCGATGTACAACAATCGGGTGCATTAATGCCGTCGAGCTCGCCCGCATTCACAAACAGATATCGTGACATGCGATTCGCGCCGATTCCTTTCGTTCTTCCATAAAATAAGGCGATTGAACCGCACACTGTTGGGTCAAATTGTAGTAAATAACCACCGACCGAAAAGGCAAATATTTGGTCTCGCCCGCGAAAAGAGCTGGCGCGCCGCCTATTGATCGGAAACGCGAACCATTGTTAACAACGATGAATATGAATATGTATCAGATTAGATTCTCTATCGTAAAATTATTATACTTCGTATACTATATACCACCGCCCGTCAATTTTGATACGGAGAATATTTTGCATACGGAAATAAATTTATTGAAGAAAGAAAATCGGATATTGTGTTTGCAACTCAACATTAACGGTGTGAAAAACGAGAAAAGTTGTGTTTCTCAAGTATCAGAAAAATTTCACGGCGGAATACGCCGGACAGAGTTAATGCATTCGACGTTACACGCGTAATCCTTGCACCCATGTTTCCCGTACGTTCATCCGCGACAGCGAATAACGGCGTGTTTACGTCGTTATTAGCTGAGAGAAACGTTTATAATACAACAAAGCAAACAAGCTGCTAATTCAACACGATCCTTTTCATAATCGCGCTGATCTTGCAAAAACGCTGCTTTGCGTTCTTCGGCCTGTCGATATAAAAAAGAGAAGAAAACGCATACATTCCATTTATCTTTCATATCACCTATATTCCTCGGGATCTTAGCCGTGACATCATAACACCAGCGATGACACCGCAATAAGTACCGCAACGATGACGTAATAGAACCGCAATAACGAAGACATGCATTTACCGTCCAGATTCATTCGGCCGGAGAGAACTTCAAAGATCGTTTTCTTTTTTAATATTACAGATCTGAAGACGCGAAATTATAAGTAGATGACACTCTTCCATGCTCTCATAGCACACAAATCAATATTGATCTCCAAAGATGGAAAAAAAATTGGTAAAAAATTAAAAAGACGAAGAAATGAAATGATATGAGATTTCATGTATTAATATTAAATCACGTTAAATTACTATAACGTATAATATGTAATAATAATAATATCAATAATACAAAATGCTACGACCGTTTGTGAACGGATTCGATTTTTACGTTTGCTTCTGACTTCGCAGGGCGACGACCTTAACAAGATCTAAGTATGATTCGATAAGATCGTACGCTGAAGGTACACACCGTAGATTACTTCGATTCTTAAGGACGTCGTGACACATGGACGGAGAAACAGAATTGTTTGCGGTGTCTTATCATATCGATGAATAATGACACGGAAGCACCACGTGTACATCGATCGCATCGATATTTTTAGTTAACGATCGTTCACGACTACAGGTGGGGACATACACAGGCGCAAACGAGTTTTTTAAAGAGTCATCTACGATACCCCCGGTTCGTAAATTAATCAATTTATAATCATAGATTTATAATCATCGAACTGGTTTTTCCGACGGCTATGGTCGCTATTGGCCGGCCGAAGTTTCATTACATGCTTGCACTTGTACGGACAACATGGGCTTCTTCACGCGCGCTAAGATAATTCGCGGCTAAGATCATTATTGTCGACAAGACGGCTCCTTCCGGGGAAGTCTGACGTAACGGCTTTTCTATAAGTTTCCTCAATTTTCCGTTCTTCGCACGTACGCCGTATTCCCGCGATCGGCTGATTTCCTTATCGACGCAAACATCGAACGTGTCTCATTAACCATACCGCTGAATCGAGAAAACTATCGTGTGACTATTATATAGACGAACTATATGCGCACCGTCTCTCCCTCTTTCCCTCTCGTTCATTTTGCGTGAGAAAAACGACGACTCTGACCACGTGGATTGATACTTTTTAACCGAAGAACCGACGTTCGCACAGATCGCTATTGTCGATTTGCGTATGAAACGCGACTATAAAGTCTGCTGATAATTCGATCCTCCATTTGCCGCGAGCGTGCGTGAATTGTTTTCTTCCTGCGCACGCACACACACACGTATACACGAGACCATCGGAACCCATATTTGTGACACGCGATTCGAAACTCTCGTTAAAATTATTACAATCGTCTCACCAAGACCCTCCTCCTCCTCCCGCCCGTATTTCCGCGTACTGTTTTTGTGCCAAACGTTATGAGAGAAAGAGAAAAGAGAATTAAGGCGAATATTCATGATTCTGGAAACTTTATAGAGTTGTAAATATTTGTTGTCTCTCGCGTGCGACACTTCGTATGCGAATCGCGCAATAAAAATGCAGTCGCGAGATGAAAACCGTGCTCCCTCTCCCCTCCCCCCCCCCCCCNCCCCCCCCGTAACTATCTGCGACAAAATTTTTTTTTCAAACGATACTATGAGAAATACGATGATGTCTATCGTACGGTTGGGAAAGCAGACACGCGCGCGAACTCGCGAAAACGTCGAAAAAGAGAGAGAGCGAGAGAGAGAGAGAGGATTTCCGAGGGATCCTTAAAAAATCGAACGTCGTTTCGAAAAAACCGGCTGCGCGCATTTCGACGGTACCGGCGGTGAGCGGCGGGCTTCAAAGTAAATATTTGTCACCTTCGCTTTCGGGTGTTATTCACTCACGACTCGCGGTCGGAGATACACAAGGCTTCGTGGGGTTTTACTACGGCGAAAAGGAGCGCGGTCGGAAATTGAACGGTCCGATAACGAGAGAGAAGGACAGTTTCGGCCTTTTCTCGCCGTTAGCTCAGCGAGGTGGTCGCGGGAATAAAACAAAGCGAGAGACGTTGTCGAGACGTGATCCGTTCAAACCGGCAATGCCTATTTACGGAAGTGAAGGTGTTTATTGACGCTTAGCGTACGAGCGGGGCCGCATGAGGCCAGCGAGGAAGAGAGACCACGTTGCTGCGCTGCTCTCCACGTTGGGAGGCGAGGATTTCAACCTCTTCAGTGGCGCGCACCAGAGAACGAGCAGGAACGGGCCGTCCCACGGACGAGGCGCGTCCGTGGTGGGGTGTCAGCCGTGGCTTATCTGGCGACTTTATGTATATTACGATACCCCAGGCAGGAACACGAGCAGTTCACTGCTGGCTAACCGGTCGGAGAAGTCGGCGGCGAAGCCGAGTCATCCAGAGCGGCGCGCCTCGTCGAGAGCGAGAGAGAACCGAGGAGAAAAACGTGTTTGAACTGCAAAGAGAGAAAGAGACGACGACGTTTCCTTTCCCGTTCTCTTTCTCTCGGCCACTCGTTCATCACAATTGTGCGACGGCGACGACATCGTGCGGCCCTTAAACTCGCGTCACGTCAAAATCCCATCGGCGCAACGTGATAATCGCGTGTGGCAAGATTTCCGTGGTGTGCGTCTCGCCGGCCGAGCAGTTCGGCAAACTGATCGAACGGATATTCTCAACACTCCCCGCCGATCACTTCGATCCAGGATGATCGTATTCGCGTGGTCCCTCTTCGTCATCACCCTGATCTTCGTGACGGGTAACCAGGCCTTCCTCAACGCACCCTTACCAGGTGAGAGACGCACTCGCGCCGGATATCACGTCAAGTTCATTGTTGTCGTCGTCGGGCGAACGCGAGAAACGAAGAGATCTCTCGATCGATCGATCTTCCCATCGCTGAGGTTAAACGAAGCGCTGCTTTCGCGTGAACTTTCGCGCGGATGCATCGCGCGCGATCCAACGGTGAATATATGTATATACGTCGCGTTTTTCCCCCGGGACAACCGTGATGTGAACGAAGAGACGCGAATCGATAGTGTGAGATCACTGCGTGGAAAAGAAGAATTCTCTCTTTCCGCGCGGTCACTTCTGGCGACGATTCCTCTCGACTTCACTCGCGCGACAGAGTTGTTTACATCGCAATCACGATCTCTCATTTGTAATCGCTAAAACCCCGCGGGCGACTTCACGCAGCGCACCGCGAGGCCGTTCAAAATATTTACCTAAAAATTGCTCAAATGGATTTCTTAAAAATTAACCATCCTTCGTACGAATAACAACGTTCCACATATTCTACGAATCTCCATTCGGCAAGTTTTCCACAGAGGTCTTGGAAATTCGGAGAACTCAGTTCCCATGAAATTCAATGAATTCCTATAGTTTCGTAGACGCGAGGTGGTTAATGGAAAATCAAGCGATTCGTATAAAGACGATTTTACGGGAGATTAATCGCGACAGAAATTTCGCCGAGCCCAATGGGGGGGAATCTTGCTTAAATCCGTTTAGGGTTAAATCTGGCGTCATTTCCGTTTCGAGACGCTTCGAATATTGCGCTTGAATCGCACGGCGCGGCTATATCGGCCAGAGCACGAACAAACGACGTAGAAATTCGAGATGTTGTAACCCAAAGTAACCCGTGTGCACCGAAACACACCGTCGAGAGCTGACAAAAGGGGAAAAAGCAAGAATAAGACGGACGGCCGTCGGAGCGGCGGTTTTATCGACACGCTCAGGGAAGTCGCGTTCGTTGGACCGCGTTTCGATCGACCCGCGGCTCCGGATATAGATGACGTTACATTATTCAAGGCAAGATGTAATCGATACGATTATGCGGTTTCGGTGACTCGATTAAACCCTTCATCTCGCAACCTTTCAGTATTCATTAACCCAAATCAAATCCGTCCCGCGATTCGCGTCGCGATTCCTCGCGGTCAATTATTGTAAAATATATCAGTTAAACGTTGCGACAGCTTTCTATATGGAAAATACAAGAGGATCCCGAATAAATTATATAGGTGGTGTATCGATGATACGCGTGATATTTCTCTCAGAAATCACATACGCACACGTTGTGCGGTAAAGGCCCGACATTGCGCGATACGCGATGACTCACACCTCGACGAATACCAAAAATTCGCAGAACCTTTCCAAGTTATGTGCACAGCTTGATATCCTGTCCAAAATGTTATCAACCTAAGGCCATAAAAATAGATTCGTATGGGCAACGTGAAATTGGAGCAACGTGAAATCTCTACGGTAGACGGGCGCAGCGAATGGAAGAAAACTCAATCGTAACCTAATCGCCAGCTTTACGCGTGCAAATCTTACATAACAACTTCGCGCGTTATCGGAGGAAACCCAGACACGTATTAACCGAGCGTTTCTCAAAGGTTCAGAAGAATCGTACAAAAGAACGCACTTCTTTTCGCCACGTCGGGTCGTCTTGTTGACGTCTACCACGCGGCAAGCACCTTTCTCCTCTCTCTCTCTCTCTCTCTTCCTCCCTCCCTCTCTATCTCACCTTTATCGCGACGGTTCGCGTCGAATTTTCGAGGACCGCGTAAACGGGACGCGAGCGCGCGCGGTCGGGCGGTTTTTGAAAGAACCCGTATCGCGTGACGCTCGGCGGTTAAATCCGAGATCGTGTGTGCCGCCGCACGTGAATTTTACATACCGCCGTGTGCGAATGACAGATTTATCTCCGCGCGCTCTCGCAACCGAGACGAGAATTTCGCCCGGGAACCGCCGCCGAAGTGAGACGGTCCACTTCCAGCGTACGAAAGCGATCGGCCGCGAGGAAACTTTCGATCGTTCGGCCGATTAGCGACAGCTAACGGTCCGTGCCTCTCCGTTGCCGCCTCGTCGCGCGCACGTTGTTGTTACACGCGAAAAATATCTCGGATAATCAATAAGCACGCTATCAAGCGGCTAACATCGGACACTTGACCCCGCCGCCCTGTCCCGCGGCTTTTTTATCCGATCCGTGTCGACGTACGATGTTGCTATGCGATTAAAAAGTCGCGCTCGATCATCTCAATTACGGGCTAATGTTTACATTGCTGAATCAAAGCGGATCGCGATACTGAGAGCAACGCGTTAACGAATTAACGATCTTTTCGCGAACCATTAAACCGAGCTGATTGCGCAGGCTTGCGTTGGTAAAACAAAATATTTCGTGTATTTGTAACTATCATTGTAGCAAAAGAATTGTAGTCACTATAGTAACTAACAATTTGCTGTTCGAGTAAAATTTTTGTCTCCGTACGGGAAAATCAATTTTCCGGTAAGTGTTGCTACAGCGTCAGCGATAATACATACATCTTATTACTAATATTGTATTTTTGTGGTTAAAACTGTAAAAAGTGTAAGAATGACTATAATTTCTCTCAGTGTGCGTGTGTTGTTTTCTTCTTTCAAGCAACTGTTAACGGCATTGTCGAAACCAAATACTCTTTCAGCGAATAATTCGTGGCGCCTAAGTAGGACAAGAAGACAATGTGAAACAACACGAGTGGCGCCTGTTACGTGTCTTCGAGAAAATACGCGACGCGTTACTTAATCGAACACGCGCTTTAATTGAACGCGCAGTTTGCTCAATGATAGTGATGGTCTCATTTGGCGAAGATAAAGTTTTCTTCGCGAGAATCTAAGTCGAGCGAAATGTCGGAATGCCACGCTTTGCTGTGCCACGCGATCCGCCGTTGCTTTATTAACGAGAGCACGTCGTAATAATTCAGCGGTGTCTGAGCAGTTGTCGATGCTGCGGCTTTTTCGATAGCCAGCTTTTAAATAATCCAAATCGCCCACCGCCGAGCGAGATCTCATTCCCATTGCGACACAATACTCACGCTGGGATTCAATCTGGCAGCTCGCTCGAATGCCGCAAAATCACCGTAATGTTTATCAGCGGCAGCGTAAAAATTTGTAACAATAACGAACCCACCTTTCGACTCACGATAATTACCAATACCGATAAACGATCGCGACAAATGGCTCTTACCGAGAAAATCATCCGTTAGGATTAAATTAGCCGTATCACATGAAGCGAACGTGGCGAAGTGCGACTCGAAGTTTTCACGCTCTGAAACGGCCCAGCACTCAAACCTTATCTAATGTCTTTCTAATTCACATTCAGTCGGTTGAGTAAGCCGCCGCTTAACGGATGTACGAATATATAATCGCTGCGTATATAATGCTCGCCTTGCTAAATATAGAAGTACAAGAACGACTAGGAACCGTTAAGTAGATGTGTGTGGGTGTGGGTGCGTGTGTGTATCTAGCCTCGAATACATCCTGCGATCCTTAACATACAATTACGAGGAAACTTCCTACATTTGAACGTCCCGAGAACACGAATTTCCCCGTTGTCTTTCCTCTAAGAAAAATTAATGCGAGTCTCGCCGGAAAATTCACACCGTTAATACAATTACCATCGATAACACGACGATAAGCTTACGTTAAAGCCTAGTTGCAAAATATTGACGTGTTAATTGTTAGATACGTTGAAACGTGCACGTTCTAACACCATGTTCTTTAGAGCTCCTTTGAAATATCGCGATTTTTACAATACCCGTTCGAATTTTACACACGCGGCTCGGATGACGTCGTGACGTCACGACTTACACATACTTGACTTTGATATTGACGAAGAGCTCACCTTTTTTTTTTATCATCAGAAGCGACAGACAAAAGATATATGTACACACACACACACACAACCTATACTTATTCGGCAGACGGTGTTCGCTCTTAAACCAGCTAATAATACTTCCGATAATAATATACGACAATCGCGGAACTTGGAGCGTCGCCAGACGGACTTGGACATAAAATGCAGTTTTCGCAAGCGCGAAAACTTCCTCGCTCGCCGGATAAAGTTTCGGATAATTTCGCGATTCTTCCAGCACAATCGCGCTCTTCGGGTACAATTAGGCGCGCTTCTGCGTACGTAAGTACATCGCACGAACAGACCCGCGGTCAGATCATTAAGTAGAATCGCGAAGAAGTAGCACGTTCTACGTGGTTTTTTCTTTTTTTTCTTTATACTACGAGAAACTTCACCCACGCACGAAAGCAACTCCGGAGATTTGACCCCGTAAATTTAACTTGATTCCTATCAGCGTGAAACGAATGTGTAACGTGAAATAAAACGAAGAGTCTCTCGTTGTGCAGATTTAATATTCGCGAAGCGGAAAAGTACACGATGACGACGTAGACGGGATTCGACCAGACAGGGAGTTCCGCGCTTAAATTTACCGATATCACGAGCGCTTGAATATCACGATAACAGGTGCGTCAGCTCGTCGATCGTATCTCGAAAAGACTCCTCTCCTTCCCGGGAACAATGTTAATGATCCCTTGGTATCGATCGGCCCGATCTATATGTCGCCGCGCGGTTCATCAGACGGTTTCACCGCTTTCTCGCGGAAAAGGGGAAAAAAGCCCAGTCTACCTTAATAAGACTAGAGCGAACCACTAAGAACGTGCCGATCGAGTGTCGATGAACGAACACGAGAGGCCGAGAGGCTGGAGTAAGCGCGAACTTGAACGAGCGTACTCGAAGGTCGCGTTCGCGAGTGATTCCTATACAGTCGAAGGTCGCCGTGTTAGAAGTATTCGAGACGTTCCGCGGTTCTGCGATTTCGTGAGCGCGATCCGCTTGTTTTTCGCCGGTATCGCGTTGCGTCACTCCTTCACTCCGTCGTCGGATGATCTAATTACCATTGGTGGACGAACAATTGCGCATACACCAGACGTCTCGCGGACGTCACTACGCTCGAGATTCCAACTTACGATTTTGATCGATCACTATCATGGATCACCATTGACATTGTCAAGTACGATATTATATGCGACGGATAATGTCTATTTGTATATATTTCGTATTATTCGTATCATCAGAATTATTCTTCTATAATGTTTATATCGCCGAGTTTATACACCACACAGGAGAAAAATTAGACTTAAATCGAGAATAGATATTCTTATATATAAGCAAGAATATTCGAATTTTCGCTTACATATGAGAATATACAGTCTTGATTTAGGACTATTTCTTTTCGATGCTTGTTTCACAAAGAAATTAGATTTGAAGCACTGTAATATATCCATACTAAAAGAGGCATCGGACTTTGAAAAGTGAAGTCAACAGAGAAGCCAGTTTCAGGGTACTTTTTTTTTATCGTACACATGTGCGTCGCTGCCTTTAGAAAGAGATAGGTACGTAAGTAGGTGAGTAAAAGCTCTAAAAGTAAACTTCTACCTGTTTCACGCACGTTTTCCATCCACAGGCGTTATGTGACGGTGCCTCTTCTGGTATACTTATATTTCAGCGGTTTAGGATGCATTTTAGACGTGCCACGCCACGTTCTAGAGCGGTGCAGTAACTTTGTATGCTGAGATATATCAGGGCTTTGTAATTCAATACCGGAGAAGAAACAAGAGTCTCAACGACGTCCGATGTAAACGCAGTCTTTCTTCGTATCAATCGTATCTTCGTTCGCCCCCCCCCCCCACTTTCGTTCTTTTTTCGAATAGTATTGAACATAGCACATATTAATAGTACGTCGCGTTTGAATAGAATGTCGATAGACGCGGATGGCGATGTCAAAGGGACGATGCCAATTATTCAGCTATTCAGTTACGTAAAAGCCCCGACTAATTGTTGACAGAACAAACGTTATCACGTCGGTGCCGTCGAAAACCGATGCGGCATTGAAAAATTTGGTGCGTGAAACGACTGCACCACGCGCATTTAATTAGGCCGTACGTTTGCTCGTCGTTTAATCATTTAAATAATCTCCAGCGTTTATTTCTAGAAATTAACGATTATCATTCAACATCGGCGTTACCTTTCGATTATTAATTAATTACGAACTGGGTACGTTTGGGATTCGTTTGATCTAGTATTCGATTCGCTTCACCTTATTACAAACTCAAATCTTTTGAACAATTTTCACACCTCCCGGAATTAATTACTTACGGTCGGTCGTTTAAAAAAATGATTCACGTGCGACTCGTTCGATTAAATTTTACACTTGCGTGACGATAAAAATAAAATATCTCGTATGAACTATGTCACATCGAACTGTAATTGTATAATACTTTGATTACAATTCAAACGCGACGTAAAAGGCACGTTTGTAAAAATGCGATTGTACATTAAAAATCCGCCGACTCGTCGACCGTTCGTTGATTATCGATGCTACTCCTCTATCACTAACTTTGACGTCTCCGGCAGTGTATGAAAAAGACTTTTCACCGTGATTTATTTTTCTTATCAAGTTTTTCTGATTTTTCTCCATTAAACTTATCGGATTTATTCTTCGTACGAGAATGCGTAACGATACGTGCTCGAAAGCCCATAATTTTTTACCACGCCATGAGAGATCTGTAGTTTCATGAATCAATGAATTATCGGTATCTCGAATCTACGCGATCGTTAAAACGTCTCATGTTAAAGCTCGACGTGAGCTACGCGTATGTGTCTTTCGATAACGTGCGCGCGCGTGTAGATGCATAACGAATATCGCATCGCGCATTCTTCACCGGAGAAAATTGGTGAAAATACAACAATCGATTTTTCGTCACGTCTTAGTCTTAAATTGCACATTTGTGATCGTAAAGCGAAGCCAGTGTAAGATTAAACTTAAAATCATGTTTTACCACTTCTATCTCTGCAATTTAATTTGCTTAAAACTTCTTATTCTTTACGATTAATTTAAAAACTACTATCGTCTCGATATTTTCGGCAAAATCGACTTCGAATTAGCTGCGAGTCATATGTTTATGATATATGTTAATAGTTTATGTTAATATGTTAATCTCTCCTTCTTATTAACAACCTGAATTTAACACTTCGACAATGAGCAATGATTTACCGTCGTCGCTAGACGCCGTCGACCATTATTTATCGTTACAGTCGGCGATTTATCTCGATTTTGCCACCGACCAGAATTTCGCGAATATTTCGATCAAGTCGGTGTCTCCGTAAGCACGATGTACTTCGGCCGTTTTCCCAGGCGCCAGGTAGAACTTCACAAACAACGCCCACACGGCAGAAGGAGTCGTTTTCACGAGGAGGCGCCTGCACGCGGAGACTTTAAACAGACTTCCGTTTTAAAGTTCAAAAGTTCGCGCGAAGAGTTTATCAGCGCGGAGCGACGTAAAGTGGATACGCGATGCTTCTTAAGAACGATAAAATATATACACCGTGACAATGTCGACGTCAACGTTACACAGCGGTCCTACAATTACTTGTTCGCTCTGCGATACAATACTGTTATTTTCGCGATGTTTTCAGATAATCGACGCGATTATTTAAAACTAAACAGAAAAGTATTCTGTCTCTTTGCAAACCACGCAAAATTTCCAGTTATTAATGACTGAAATTGACCATATATAGAAGCTTCTTTAATTAATAACTAAATAATTTGCGTGTTATTTGCAGATGGTGGAGAACTTTTCCGCTCTATCCGTCCTACGCTCTCACAAAGTTTTTTTTTTCCTGTTGATCTGGGACACCCTATATATATATCACATGTTTTGCTCAGATTTTATCATATTTTTAATTTAAAAAACTGAGGCTATCTCTTCGGCATTTCCGTACCAAGATTTTCGGTCTTGATTAATCTCCAGGATATGCAACTGAAGTTAACTGGTGCATTTAATTGTGCGACACCCCGCACTTGCATCGCGATATTAAGTACGCACGATAAGCTACGCGCGAAGAATAATACGTGCATTCACGCGATTAAGTTAAATGCAGTTAACTAATCGATCACGATTTATTGCAGCTCATACGGTATCGACCTACAGTATCGGCGCCGATAGAGGAACGGATAACAATAAAATGACTCACGGCGTGAACGACAATCGTCATTCGGTCGTCTCGAAATTCGACGACGACGACGACAATGACGACGACGACGAGACGGTCTACGTGATAGAGTACAACGAGGAGAACCGTGGAGAAAAGAACGTGGAGAAAGGAAAAAACACGGACGGTAAGGACGCGTATCATCACTTTTGCACGCGTACGAAAATGATCACACGAGAGTACAATGTCACGCCGATCATCCGCGCTTATTAATCATGAATCACCACGTACCACGAATTAGAATCATTCCCGTTATTCTGATCCTGTGACACTTGTCCGTCATTCGCGTGAAAGTTTGCCGTTTTCTTTCCATCGTCGTTTCTTTTTTTCTTTCTTGCCAATCCCACCCTTTTTCACGTTCGTCGCGTATTTTGCATCGACATTAAGGCCTTCGGCCGTACAGCCACACGAATCATTAAAAGCGCATAATTACTTTTTATCGAGTCGCGGCCTTCGGCCCACCACTGGGATTCATTAGCGATTATATATTTATTGCCACTTGTTTGCTCTCATGCGATATCATGTTGCACCTTGACCTCCCCGCGACTTTTTCCCTCGACATTGTCAAGTTCGAGTAAATCAACCGTGAAGCGCGAAGCGCGTGTGCTATATCCGTCGCGTTACGGCGAATGCGAGCAAGTCGAGGATCAGCTTTTACAAAGTGAGAATCTAATCCGATGAATATGTAAGTACGCATCAATCCCGAGTAATCGATATCCAACCATTATACAACAATTATGCATTTCGACATAATCACACTCGATTCTTTGCTCGGGATGATTTTTGCCAATTCGACGTCACTCGCAGGTGGCAATTTGATTCTCCACGATGTTCACGCTGTAAACATCGCTTGTTGGCGCTAATTAAATACTAGCAAACGCATAACGTAAACAGGAGAACTAACACTATATAACAATAAGAAGCCCGATTTAATATCTGTTGCATAAGCGTACTCGAATCGAGCGATTATTAATTGTTACGATAAAATGGGAAAATTAGATGCACGAGTATCCCGTAGTTCGCTGCAACGCGATGCGATAATATCGGAAATAAGTCTAAAGAGGACGAATACATACAACAGAGATCGTATTAAAGTTTCATTGTCTTGAAAATGATGGAGTTTATCGTCTAATTGAACAAGGTCGAGTGTAAGGTAAAGCAAGACGAGATCCATAAAACGCGGCTCGCAATCTCCAACGCCTCGCGTTTTCCGTTAAAATCCCGACCGCGGGATAAACGCTGTCACACGCGCCAAGGATTTATGCAGATGCGCAGTCGTTCTTCATCTTCATTTACATCGTCGCAGTACCGCATTCGTCGGCGCGTACGCGTCACGCATTAACGGCGATTGGTAGCGTTGGTCGTGCCGTCCGCGAATCTCACGCGCCTCGTGTGGCCGATCGAAAAGGAAAAAAACTAGGGGTGTGGTTTCGAAAACTTTCCACGCGATACTTATGCCACAACCGTATCGAGAATGATCCCGCTAAATGTGCACTCCCGATCGTGCAGCGCGTGCAAAATCGTTGTGTCGTCGCGACCACCGATCGTAAAAATTCGTCTCGCGGCTCGTCAGCGCCGAATTCTCAGGTCGCGCAGACTTCATCACGTAGCACACGCGCGCGCAGATTCGAGATACCTTGTTGAAAAATAAATAGACGCCGTTCTCGTGATGTTATGAGCTCTCGCGGCGAATAATGCGGCTCAACATCGAGATGACTTGAAATTCGCGGCTCGTCGCGTCGTATTTCCATCGTGGACGGCATCACGAAGCGCAAACAAAGGAGCATGCGGCTCGCAAATAAAGACACGCGTCTGTTTGCGCCTTTCGCGATTTGAGAGCAGTGTCCGACGATAGTTTTTGCCGTTTCGATCTCACGTAAACAAGTGCGAAAGTATTCGCGTCTGTTCGTGATTCCGTTGGAAAGTCGCTGATATTGAGATCTGGCGAGATCTTCAGTGATCTTTTACTGTAGAACGATCTTCGCGACATTTAACGAAGCATCATCCTAGATAACTTTCTTGACAATTTAAATTTTCCTCACGTACCTCTGTTTATCTCCCTCTTCATGGATGAAAAATTGACCATAGTTATGCAAGAAAACCCACACGGAGTACGTTTCGAGAAAAACAAAGAATGAAAATTTGATGCACGATTTAAAAAGTAAAATAGCTGAAGAACCCGAAGTTCTTCACGATCGCTCAAGAAGTCATGGTCCATTTCCTTTTTTTTTAAAGGTATTCATTGGCAAGCTTAATCCTGAAAAAAAATGGATAAATAAAACGCGACTAGTAAAAACAAATAGGCACAACTAATAGAAAATAAAAATAAAAACTGTTTTTTTTCTTAGTTAATTTCACGCGCCTATAAGGCTGGAAATTTATTCCTTTACGTAGGAAGACCATCCATCGATAAGAAAATCTCAAGAATCGTAATTTCATGAGTTGGATCGCATCCTTTCTCGCATAACTATGGTCAATCGTTCCATTAATAGACTCATTAGTAATCAACGATAGACAATACTTAACACGATAAGAATGACGCGAATAAAGATAGGATTTCATGATAAGATTTCATCATCGATGTACATCGACGTAAAACCGCAGGTTGTTTCACCTGTTTCCGCGAAACTTCGCGTCACGCACGAACTATGCTGTCGTCATTCTCTCGCATGCACGTAGCTCGTCAATGAACGCAATTTACGATTATTATTATTAACGAGCGGCTCTCTCACAGGTTCCTACTTTGTTATAGTCAAGAGCGACCCGCAGAATCCGTTGGACCCTTGGTCGATAGTATGGTACATCGGCTCGTTCGGCGGCCTGGTTGCGTTCTTCCTCATCGTCAGCTGCTCCGAGTGGTGCTGCCGACGGGCTGCACGACCCCTCGCAATGCCGTACGCGCAGCCTACCGAAGTGATGAGTTCGCGCGGGGTCGCGGAGACCCCGCCGCCGCCGTATCACTTATTCGCACCGCCGCCGTACGACTCGGTCAACTACGGCGACATCGTGGACAAGACGTCCGGCGAAAAGCTCGACATCTACGTGATCTCGGTGCCGACGGTGCACCGGCCGGTGGTGCAGGCACCGGCGTAGAAGACAAGCTTTCGGATCCACTCAGGGAGGATCATCGGATACCAAGCCGCGCGATGCTGAACAATCGGTTGGCAGCCGAAAAGTGCAGCGATACTCGAAGAACGGAGAACGGGAGCTACGCTTCTTCATCGTTTACATGACAACGTTGTTTATTACGTTGTTTGCCGCGGAACAAACTGTAAACACGATGCATATCATGCGTGGCATACGAGATAACGGGCTGGTAGCGGTTCCTCGAAACGCAGTTTCATCATTTCGAATCACGCAAGTCGTTATCCACGTTGTCGTGGAGAGAGAGAGAGAGAGAGATTCGGGTTGCGTTCGGGAATCCTCACTGTATGCACACACCACTGGCACATTTGGCCGTTCGGAAATATTCAGTGTGGTTCAGTGTGCATTCGTGTGCATCGTTCGGAAATCTTCCGAGAAACACACCATCTACCACCAAACCACCCGACGAAAAAGCAAAGGGGGGAAGTCGGTGTGAGTCGGTGGTTTACTATCCAGTTATTTCTGTCATGAACCTCTTCGTGTGTAAATCTTATCGATGAGTAAAAAATGTCGGAGAGTATTGCATTGATACAAGGACGGCATGAGAAGACGCGATGAGCGGGATTCACTCGAGAAGCTTGATTCCTGTGAGAATTTACCAGTGCGAAGTGTTCATGATGAATGATTTACATTGGAATCATATGAACAGAAATTATGAAATTCGAATTTTTTTCGCACGTTATGGCTTATATATACTGACATATATACTGACTGATATATAAGACTTTTGCATAGATCTGAAACGATATTTTTTTTTTTTAACATTTCGTACACGGCGTTCGTCCATCATCGTTACTCGCTAGAAGTCACACCGGGGCATTAGGAAACCCTTGACACGCGAAGGCATTTCCCATTTTCCCGTTAAAATCACGAAAATACATCACAAGTGGGATTCCCGAACGCAACCTCGTTCAGATGTGCCGAGTCTCCGAATCACGGCGGAGTAATCGTAGACGGTGATTCACGTTCACGAGGAATTGAACACGAACGAACTCACGAGTGGAACGTTAATGGAAGGTAGCTTCGATACGCGGAAAATGCCGCCGACGTTTCGCTTGGAATTTACGGGAAAATCAGAAGACGACCTCAGACGACCGAGACGATGTTTCAAGGAAATTGTGTGTCGATGTTTGTGTGGAGATATTATCGCAACGGTGGGGAACGATGATGACATTTTAATGACACATCGAATATTTGTGTCAGAAATGTATGTGTGCGCGCGTATGTATGTGCGTGTATATGTGTGTATTCTGAGAGGTAGTTTATGAAAAGTTGACACGGAAATCGAACGGTTCATAATTAGAGACAGGTCCGCGAGTTTCTCGAACCGACGGATTTAAGTGTTGACTTGAGGAGCAATAATTAACCTGATTGGACCACCGGGAAATGACGAACCAATTTGACCTGCACGATCGACGTGGAAGTCTCGAAACTCGTGTTTGTGAAAGAACATTACCGAACTATTTCGTCCTGCTGCGCTGAGGATACGTTTCGTTTTCGAAATATGTCTCGCGAATATCTTTCGTATCGCGCAACATTGAAGATGTATTTCGATAAACCGAGTATCAACGACCAGGATGTGCGCGACCATAAATTCGGAAAATATTTAACAAAAGTAAATCGGATAAATAATTCGGTCAATCACTGCCACAAGAGACGAGACAGCTAAGATATTTGCCCGTGTCAATTTCAAATTTTATCCCCGGATTAATAATCATTCGCATAATGCTGTATCAGGAATTATATCACCTGTTTAATCGATGGGCTCCGCGAAAAATACACCAGCCGTCGCGCGGTGACGGCTTCGAGAGATCCCTATTTTATCGTTCAAACAGAAATCGTCCTCGACATCGTCCTCGACATCGTCCTACGATCGTTGGAAGTCGCGCGAAATGTATAATATTACGACTGTGAGAACCTCTCGCAAGAATTATACATGATACCGTCGCATGCGATTGGCCCTGTTCGCCTACCGACTCTCTGTCAATTAGGGACGATTAGCGTAGATTATAAATCGACTGTCGCGAGGAGCGGTCTCTCCCCGCGAACGAGGCCGCGCGAATGTAATTTAAGATAATGGCGTGAGCGTATTCGCCGCAAGAACAAATACTGCGCTCGCGCTAATCGAGAGGGACACCGACGCGTCGTAGAGCTCGCGAACGATCAATTGCGCACTAATTAACGTAACGTAACTCGGCGAGTAATCACGACCCGGAGCCTTCGCGCGGCTCCACGTAGTCGGAATGTGCAAAGTGTCTCTGACGCAAGCACCGATTCCGAAAACACACAACTCGCCGATAAAAAGTATCAATCGAGATTGCGACTCGTGACGATTCTGATGCCGAAATAAATTCCGGTCGGGCGCGCAATATCATTCTTTGGCTTCGAGCGAGAAGCATCCGAGAAGAATAGATGAGTAAATAATAATAATAACAATCCTATTTTGATAAATGGGACTTTGATCTTGATAAACGAGCGGCTGAAATGAGAGAGAGAGAGAGAGGAGAGGTGCTTTAAGTTTCTACTTCATCACGCAGAGAATATTTGACGGCAACTAAAACTTCGTTCATGTTTTACATTCTTCGTCACTGAGTCAGATTGGCTCATTTGTATCTTACATTCGTGATAAGAAGGCTAATTAACAGAGCTCTGTTGTCGAGAATGCGCACGATCGATTCGTTGCCCCTAAGACTCACAAAATGACGACGCTGTCGCTATTTATTTTTTATACTTTTATACACACAATTTATATACGTACTCGAGCGTCTCTACATTATCAATAAAATTTCTTTTCACACATGAAAATGATTTCTTGTCATTCAAATTCATATATCGACTGTCACGTCGTCGTATCTATGTCAACTTCCGATGTTTTTATCCGTCCAATACCGAATATCGAATAATGTGCACCGCATAATCTCAACATTAACCCTGTGTACTTTCTCATGTCAAATTATGACAAAAATCTTATCGAGAATTTTTTGACAAAATCGAAAAACGTTTTGAATTTATATGGAAATTTCTTAAAATAGCAGGTTGACATATATATTGTTATAATCTGTTTAAAAAAAGTATTATTTAATCTTAAATATGCATATCTTTATTATATGCAAAAATTTGTTGCATTATTTTCCGAAAACTACTTTTATAGGTATTATTACGAAGAATCATTATGACTGCAGAAAATTAAACTGTAACATAATTCAAGAAACAAAAGGTACATATTTTCAAATTCTTTACTGCAAAGTTGCAAAAATGATTCGAGAAAATAAGGGATAAAAAAAAATATTTATATACAAACCACAATTTAAGTAAAGTGAATAAGTACATAAAAATATAAGTGAATATATACAAAATATAAAATATACTATATACAAAATATAAAATATACTATATACAAAATATAAAATATAGAAAACTTTTAAATATGAGAACTATATATCATTAGCATATTATTGCATGTGGATAAAATATACTATACATTTTATAATAATTTAATATATTTCTTTTTGCCAATTCATAACATTATACTTATATGATCTAAAAAATTACTGCCAATAGACATGAATTCATAAAAGCCAGTGTAAGTAGTTTTTCGCAAAAATGCATATTAGACGAGGTTCTGTTAACATAATAACAGCCATATTTGTCGTGAATAAAATTTTCGCCTGTTGTTGGTAGATTTCGATAGTTCGTCTAAAATCTTATGTAGCTTTATATATATAATCCTTAGAGTATCTCAATATATAATATTATAATTATAAACTGTTATTATTGACAAATATTTTTTTATAAACGTAAAAAATAAAGTCATATATGTAACAAGTGTTGAGAATTACCGACTCTAGGTAAGGTTTCACGATTATCAGTAAAAGATAATGAAAGAGCATTGACATTATCGACTATTCAGACATCTAGGGTGCGTTCCGAAATGTACCGATTGAGTATCGATAACTACTGCTGAAATCAGCAAGTCAGTCGTTCTAAAATCGATCAATTTGATTGATCGTGACAATACTGAAAATTGGAACGCATTTACAATATTATGTAGTATTCACGATATAACTTATTTAAAATATAAAGTGTGTATATGTACATATATAATAACATTTTAGATGGCATAGTTTCATATACGTTCTTCAAGCATATGTAATATGATTGTGAAACGTTACATATGTTCATTAAAGAATTTACGTTAAAGAAAGTGTATGAAACCAACATGATCTATCTGGAATTTAATCATTGAGATTATTATTTAATGCTATATCTGTATGTCGATATTTAAAACGTATATTTGCTTTTCTCAGTATCGTAATAGCGTAAGTACCAGAAATATGCCGTCAATATGCGGTAATATAGCGACGATAGCATGGAATATCATTCAGGATGGCCCATCTCGCATATATCTAATTTTTATATTCCATGAATATTCATATTCGGTGATTACTTTGTTACAACAAATGAATTCGAAGGGCATTCGCGACCCCAAACAGCACAAATTCCTTGACTAACCGTTATCCATAGATGTTCTGGGACGATTGCGATTCTCGAAATGCGGAAAGTGCCAACTTCACTCGGTATAACCGACGCCCTGTCCGTACATGCATTTTCGTCGGCATTTCCGATGGAATTTTGCTACAATAATATGCAATATGACTTACTTTTCAGTGCTCTCGATCATAATTCGCATCCGGACTATCCTTTAGCAAGTAAAAACACACAAATTGACGATTCAGACCTCAGCCTCAATCGTATGCTCAATTCGCCGAACGTACGATGCTTTACACAGCATACTCCGACAACGAATTATTCACTTTCGGCGGCGATTTAGCAATATTTTGTTATGGACAATGCACAATACTTATTTTTAACATTCCCGACGGACAATACGCACACGAAATTTACAATTCGGCGTACTGAAACACGAAAGAAGCACGGAGCCGCTTCTCGGAATTGTCGCGCCGCGATCCCTTCCACACTGACTGAAGCGCGACGGTTGCAACACTCGAAGTGTGCACTTGTGCACTTGTGATACACCGACTTTCAATACAGTGATTTTATGCCCATATTCTGAACGCATATTTACAACGATTTTGTAGCACGCTAATAAATCAATTTGTTAGTAGCTCTGAATAGAAATTTTGTTATAACCACGCGTGATTATTGATTATACTTAAATAATCGTTCAATATTATCTAGTGTTACACTTTATGCACTTAAAATACAATATAGGATACTCAATGCGTGAACGTAAACATAATGTACATAGACATAATATATTTAAGCTACTGGTGTAGGAGACAGGCCTCAGGGTAGTTCATAGCCACAATTAAGAAGAAGAAGAAAATAATATATTTAAGCTGAGTGTTGAAGAGTGGGAATCGAAGTACACATAAAAAGAGTACATTCTGTGTTCTGTATCCCTGGCGTTCTCTCTTGTTCGGACATATATATATACGTATAGGCCGATATTCATAATTGGATCTTACATATAAGATCATCTTAAGTTCATCTTCAGATGATGCAAGGCTCATTTCATTGGCTACAAAGCATTTGAAGATAAACTTGAGGACAGTCTTAAATATAAGATCTGATTATGAATACTGGCCATAGACCACACGAACGAGAAAGAACGCTAGGAACACAAAATAAAGTACATCCATTTTTACGTGCACCTCAACTCCCGACGTCTCAAGTAAAGGCAAATACCAAATATATCATGTCCATACCTTGTATTAATTCCGGTCTACAATAGAGGCTTTAAGCTTTAAGCCTTAAAAAATTGACCAGTCACAGTCGATTATTTTCCTCAAATTCGACTGTGGTTGAAGTTCATAATACAAGAAAATAAATGGACTTATTGTTAGCTACACTTTATGATTAACTTTATATCACGTATTGATTAAAAGAAATTTACGATATTTTATAATCTAGACTAAATAAAAATACATATGTCCTGCTAATTACAAGTATTATAGCTGAAAGATAATTATAGTTTTGTTCCGAACGTAACTGATAACACTGATAATAATTGATACGTAAATGTTTTTACGATTTGTAGACTGCGTTCGGAAAGCGCTCTATCAGTACTACAGTATTTGGTTTGTTCTTTTTAGCTGCACCACTGAACTAGCAATGCACTGCAATAAGTTGAAGCGAGACAAGTTTTCTCACTTCAATTTATTATACCAATTCAGCTAAAAATAACAGGCTAATTGCTAACGTAAAACAAGATAAAATGATGAAATAGTGTTGATAGCGCACTTTACGAACGCACGTCCTTGGTTTTTCATTAGAGGTCTCACAAGTCTGTCCTCTGTATCTGTAGTTAAACATTTCGTCTTGCGTATATTTTTGAGTTTTGATGTTCACTTATATCTCCGTTTTGTACTTTGAACCCTGTTTATATGTTAGGATATAAGTGACACGTTTTCCTGCATCGTCATTCAGTTTGTCATTCGTACTTCTTACGGCATACATTAACGATTACTTCAAGTTCGAGATAGTGTTATCGTTGCTATTATTAATAAAACATTCAATATGATGCTTAACAAGGTAAGGGAGAAAAAAAGTAACAATTATTCGAATTTATCTTCTTTGCCGCAATTGATAATTAGGCAACCATTACATTTCTATTACTGTTGTTAGCAAGAAAGATAAAGTGTAACGATTAATTATTATATAAATATGCAAATATTTATTTTCCCGAGGTAATTAATGACCAGATCTTTTAACACATTATTCATATGAACACATATGCTGATGTCAATTTTCAGGTGTTCAATCCCAGAATATACCTAAATATGGTACGGCCGTTCTCAGCAGCTGCTGAATCAATTAAAGGGTTCAGCTTAGGTTAGTAAACTTGTAGTATTTCATAGATAAAGAAAAAACATCACATGATAAATGGTATCATCTGATATTTGGATACATATGGTATTTGTAGAAAAGATTTAGGACGTAATATAAACATAGATATATTTGTAGAAATCTTTGGTTCTTTGTCTTTAACCAATTGAAACGCTTCGATCAATACCTTGAGCTCAAATTTACTCTTTATATCTGCACGATTTCAAAGATGATTATCTATTAATGTAATATTATATAAGAAAATGATTGTTTGGGTATTTTAAATCTTTTCTTCGTGCACAAAAATTCTTAATTATATAATATTCATAGTTATAAATATATCAATTTATATAGTAATGTACTTTTTGCTATGTTTTTAACTAATCCAATTCTTTTAGAATTATCTGATACTCAGAAAGAAATTCAAGAACTAGGACGGAAGTTCACCAGAGAAGAAATCATACCAATAGCTGCGGAATTTGATAAAAGTGGACAATATCCGTGGGACATTGTCAAAAAGGCATGGAGTATTGGTATTCTAAATCCACATATTCCACAACATTGCGGTATGTTTATGGACTTATCATGCATCAGAATTCTAAAATTCTGTTACGTATATTTGTGTGTGTGTGTGTATGTGTGTGTGATGTATATTAATTTGGAACAGAGCATAATATTATTAGTATTACTAAAATAAAGTTCAAAACAATCAAAATTTGTTATAGGTGGTCTAGAAAGTGGTGTTTTTGACGGCTGCTTGTTGGCAGAAGAATTTGCTTATGGCTGTTCAGGAATAGCAACTGCATTAGGAACAACAAATCTTGGAGTAAATTTTATTTTGCATTTTATTATGCAGGATACCTTATTCTGACATCATAAAGTTTTAATAGCATTTTTTTTGTTAAGAAACTGATATATGCATGATTTTATCTTAGTAAAGATATTGAATTATCAATTATCATTTTTTGAGATTGTAGACACTTTGATTTATCTAATATATTAATAAGATGTACGTATATTGAAATTCTCCTTTCATTTATTCAGCAAACTCCCGTTCTCATAGCTGGAAACAAGGAACAGCAAAAGAAATATCTTGGAAGATTAGTAGAAGAGCCACATGTTGTAGTAATTATAAACTTATATAATATTTTAATTTAATCTTCTAACGGCAAGGTGGGTTTTCAATGTATCCAGAAAAGTGAGATTGGATCGGATCCCATGCTCTGTTTCATGTAATCAATGTACAAAAACGTAAATAATAACATGAAATATTCTTTAAGAGGAGAAACAGCACGTGCGCGCTGTAAAATAAACGAGCTGTGGAATCACATCCAACCTAAACCTTACCGTTAGAGGATTAAAATATAATATATTTTACTATATAATACTATTTCTACAGGCCTATTGTGTTACTGAACCTGGTGCAGGATCTGATGTAGCAGGTATTAAAACTAAAGCTGAAAAGAAAGGAAAGGAGTGGATACTTAATGGGACCAAAATGTGGATCACAAATGGTGGTGTTGCCAACTGGTATTGCAATATATTTTTATTTCTAGTACATATATATATAGATGTACACTTTATAATTATATCTTACATAACTATACTATACAACTATACTATACAAGTATACTATACTATACAACTATACTATACAAGTTGTTCGACCTTGATATCTCCTTTAGGTTTTATCTGAAAGAATTTGTTATAAAACTCTATCTTTTATGAAAACCTCGGTTTTCTTTCTCCCTTTTTTTATATAATTATTTGTTACATAGGTATTTTGTTCTGGCGAGAACAAATCCTGATCCGAAAACACCAGCAAGTAAGGCTTTCACGGGTTTCATCGTGGATCGTGATAGCCCTGGCATAACTATTGGTCGTAAGGTAACACCTCAATTATCTCAAGTTTTGTCGAAAGTTTGACCAAATACTTGCATACTTTTATTAATTTATATCGTTTGTCTTTTTCATATAATTTTTCAAGGAAATAAATATGGGACAACGAGCATCCGATACACGAATGATAACGTTCGAAGACGTTCGCGTTCCTGAAGAGAATGTGTTGATTGGAGAAGGACAAGGTTTTACTGTAGCTATGAAAACATTCGACAGGACACGACCAAGTGTAAATTTTCACCAATGATATTAGATGATAAATGAATGTAAGATTTCAATTACTTTATATTTAACCTTTGTATTGTAGGTTGCTGCAATGGCAGTTGGCGTAGCTCAGAGAGCTCTGGATGAAGCAACGAAATATGCGATGGAACGCAAAACTTTCGGTAGACTGATCGCGGATTATCAAGCTGTGGCATTTATGCTATCTGATATGGTTATTGGCGTTGAAACTTCCAGAATAGCAATGCTGAGAGCCGCATGGGCCACTGACAAAAAACTGCCGAATGCCACTCCTCTTGCTAGTGTTGCAAAATGTTATGCTGCTGATGTAGCTAATAAATGTGCTACTGACGCTGTACAGGTAAGTACGCTATAATGAATCTCTAAATAAGAAACTTTTTGCGTTAATTGTTAAGAGATATATTCTTTTTGCGATATATCACACGAGACAATACTTTCTTTCAGGTTTACGGCGGTGCTGGTTTTAATACTGAATATCCAGTGGAAAAACTTATGCGTGATGCTAAAATTTTCCAAATATACGAAGGCACTGCACAAATTCAAAGATTGATCATATCACGCCATCTCTTAAATCAAGCCAAGCAAACAAGTAATTAAAGAGAGAAACATATGTCGGACTGATTTATGATCTATACAGTTACGATCGATGCAAAAACAAAAATTGTTACAAATATATTAGTATTTAATACGCAAGATGTTTCCTAATAATCATCTAAAGAGTACGGCATATCATTTATGGGTCATAAAATTATTTTCTTTCTTTTTATAAAAATATAAATAACTTGTTTTCAATTATTTACTTTTTGAAAGACTACTTTTTGAAAGAAACAATGGTGATATTCATATTGAATGTTAAGAAAGACTTTTGATATATATTGTAAGTAATCATTATAGGACACATCGTGTATCTATTATATATATATATATATATATATGTATGTGTGTGTGTGTATGCAATACATTACATGATGTGTAATTTTTATACACCAAAATATCTATATAAAAAATTTGTATTTTATATGAATGTTAACATATTCACCTATTTTTACATATATAGATTAATTGTAAATGTACAGATTAAATAATATATATATTTCTATAAGCCGTGAAACAATAACACAAGCTATTGAAAAATAGTATTATAGATGTAATTATTTATAGATTTTACTTTGTCGCTTTGTTATAACTTCTTTATTATGATTGTGAGTTTAGTATATACACACTTGAACGAGACATTTATGAAATTGTATTTTGATTTTTACTGTAAAACTTAATTTGGAAATCATTTAAACTAAATACTCGGTAAATACAAAAAAATGTAAAAACCACATGTGTAGCAAGAAAGATTATCAGTACAGAATATATACCGAGGATCTATATAAAAGTATATTTACCTTCAACTAATGTGATATTTCGATTTCGCGAATAATTTACTGCGTGCTACCTTCAACCGTGCTTCTTGCATGTTTAGAATCACTTTGGGAAATCAAGCGAAGTGTAAGGATTTATCAAGCATTTGCACCAATCGCGGGTAAGATCGTCTATTAGTGAATCCTCGCAATCCTAATTTCCATAATACGTACGCGGTTATCCATGGAAACCAATCCAAGAAAGATTGAAAAAGTACCTTAATTGGTTCTCCGTCGCGAAAATTGCATAACTATGGCTAATCGAGGCTCTAACTGGCCGGTCAAAAGGTCAATCGTCGTTCGTATGTTTCCTCGTGTATCGGCCCGGAGAACGCGCGGTGGACGCGCGTGAACTCGTCGACCATTTCGAATCGAGCGCGTCTGCTCGCGACAGATGGCGCTGCTCGCGCCAAACGGGAGAGCGTTAGTCAAGTGCATTGTTCATTGAATACGGATTACCGCCGCATTATGTCCGTCAGGCCGTAGTTTTTTGCCACGGTTATATTTGGTGAAGTCGCGCGTGACGAGTTATGCAACGTACGCCGCGAAAGGGCGGCCCGCGCGGGGCGATCGGACGCCGCGGCAGCTGACCTACTTAAAGCGGCCAGCTATCGTCGTATCCGACGCGGCGGCAAATCGGCAGCAGCGACCGAGAGGAGGTTCGTTGACAGATCTAGGCGAAAGAACGGCGAAAGGTCGCGTAACGACGTTTCGGTCGCGAGGCCCGTCGGTCGGTCGGCTGGCTCGCGAAATCGCGAGAATCGATGCCGACGGTGACTCGCGATGATGACGGGGGACCGCGGGGGGGGGACACATTTTGGAAATTGCGTCTTTCCGCGACAGCTCGCCGACGAGCCAGTGCCGTAATCGGTGTGCGGCGGCACCCGTAACAAGGTGGTCAGGCAAACCGGCTCATGTTCGTTCGTTCGTTCGTTCCCTACCTGACCGAGAGAACCACTTGTGATGTTTGACGACTTTCTCTCTCTTTCTCACTCGTTCACTCACTCACTCACACTCTCTCTCCCACTCTCCCTCTATTTTATTATCTTTCTCTGTCGATGATACGTGACGACACTCGTGCCGCGGCAGCATGTTGTCCGGAACGATGTGCACGAGCGAGTGATCAAGCGGCAACGTTCGCAATATTACGTTCGCGCTTACGTTTTCCCTTTCGTTAGCCACTGCCGTATCCGTGTGGCGTAATGCCAGGCGCACACAACGCAGCGCCTTCTCTCTCTCCCTCTCTCGTGCACACATACGCGCGCACACACACACACACACACACATATCGCACGAGTGACACGCTAAAATGGTAATTTCGCGGGATGCAAATTGGTGTGAGGCGATGCGCGCGTTTCACACAGCTGAGAATTATCACGCTCACGTGACTCTGTCTTCGGTTATCGCGACCGATACTACAGTCGCGGCTGGCACGCGAGCGATCTTCGAACCTGTCGCATCTCGTCGTCTCGAGTCGGCGTGAAAAAAAAACGCGCTCGCAGCGCCGGTTCCTGATCGCGAGGCTAAAATCACTCGTCCTTCATCGTGATCACAGACGTCAGTTGAAGAAGGAGTCCGGTGTTGGCAATATTTCTCCCTAGGCGAGGATTACGGGCGGCATGCGGGCGTGCGGTACGCGTGGCGTCCACGTACGCGAGTACTACGGCCCTGCGGCTCGCGCTGTCAGAGCGCGACAGTGCGCCGGACGCTCGCTTGACTAAGGGAGTGTCCGTGCCGATGCAAAGTGTAAGTGAAGTGGCCTACAGACCTACATTTGTCTAACGTTCCATTTTTTTACGGGCCGGACTGACAGGAGGTTAACAATCCGTGTGTGAGGTACCTCTTTTCCGTAAGCGTGGCGTGTGCGTGCGCGTGCGATGCCGTCGTCCTGCGACGATATACCGTCGTTCGGCTGAAGGCGGGAGAGAGAAAGAGAAAGCGAAGAGTGAACGAGCGAGCGAGTGAGCGAGGCAGTGGTGCAGTTTCGGTACGCTGCTGTCGGACACGGCGCTCTGACCGGCGCGCGGGGCGGTAGTAGTAAAAAAAGGGGAGAGAGAGAGAGAGAGAAAGAGGGAGAGAGGGACAGAAAGCTCGGACGTGCGCGAGCGTGGTAGAGAAGGCGAACCGGTGGCAAGAGAGAGAAGGAGGACGATAGGAAAACGCGCGAGCGAGACGTCGAAGGCGAGAGTGAGAGAAAGGGAGAGGAGGTGCGTGAACGAAGCGAGACGGAGGAGAGAAAGAGAGTGAGAGTGAGAACGAGAAAAGGAGGAAAGAGAAAGAAAGAGAGAGAGAGAGAGAGAGAAAGAACGAACGCGTGAAAGAGTGTAGGTGTTCTTTCGAGGAGAAGAGAGAGCGCGTGTGCTCGTCGTGACGACGTGCAGGAGGAGGGACTCGTGTCTGTCTATCCGTCTGTCTGTCCGTCTGCTGGAATGCACGAGGGCCGAATGGCTACGGGTACGGGGGACAGCGGGGAAGAGCCCGCGACGGTCCTCGACAACAACAGCACCGGCATCGCGACGACAGCCCCTCTCACGGAATCGTCCACGTCGTCCTCCTCCTCTGCCACGGCTGTGCCGACGATCCTGACGGAGAGTACCGCTACGAGCGCCGGTAACCTGCCCTTGACGGGATCCCAACAACAGAGCCTGCATCAGGTGCATCCGCAGCATCAACAGACGCAACAACAGCAACTGCGATCGAGGGTCAACCTGATCAGCGACGTGGCCGTCAATGATGTCGCAGGTAACCTCAATGCTCTATGCTCTTTGTGTTGCTAATGTGCCGCTTGCCAAATTCCCTTCTTCTGCCTTTTCTCCGTCTCTCTTTATCTTTTGGCTTCTTCAATCTGCCGTCTTTTCTCTCTCTCTCTCTCTCTCTCTTTCGTTCTCACTTTTCCCTTTTTTACCGGTCTACCACTCTCCTTCTTTCCGCTTCGCGCATTTTCTGTCTCGCATTCTCCGTTTAGCACACAGTCGTTCCTTCTCTATCTCCCTCCTCCGCCTCTCGCTTCTCCTTCTCTTCCACACTTGAATTCTCCATCGTTTGTTGCATCGCGCACGCTCTTCCTCGGGCTGCTTCGATAGATGTATTGCCCACTTCCGAGTCCATAGGTACTCGGACAGGTACGCGCGTTATTTAATTAATTAAAGAATCGTGTTCGCGCGCGCGATTTCAATATCTTGAACGGTTGAATTTGCCTAACCTGCACAAGTATCGGAGAGAATCTTAACGTATGTCTAAAAGACGAAACTCGGGACTTGCTAAAACGTTTTGTAATATATCCTTTTGGTCTTTTCGCGTTGCGTTTGCGCGGAAGAAAAAGTTTGGTTTTGCTCGAAAATTAATTTTTCTATCAGAAAACGATGCGCAAAAGTAACTTATATATATCTAATAAACCAAAGAGTCTCTGTGCGAAATGTATGCCATTTTTAATTTGGGAACGTACACACCGTAATTTGCAACATCTTTGTTCTCCGTAAGGGAGAGAAGCTGGTTCCTTGGATATCAAAGCAACGTCGTGTCTTTCTTCAACAGATCGTTCGATACGATCGAGGAATTTCATGTCACGATAAATTCGCTTAACGCGTTCGCGCGCGATTCGATTCCTTCTGAACGCATCTGGTCGCGATTACCCGCGAAGCACCCGCGGGAATATCGTATGCTGCGCAGATAGAGGAACACGATCTCATAATTCACAGCGCGCATGTTTTCGGGTTAGAGCTCTGTAAGTATATGCAACGTCGTCGTAGAGTGGCTCGAGGAGGCGTTTCGGTGAGAATTCCAAAGTCAAGCCGCGGAACTTCGCAAGCTCGGCCGTTCCGCCCGTCTGTCCATCCGTCGTTTCGAATTTAGAACAGACAGCGTTCAAACGTTTCTTTATGGTTGCTGTTGTTGCTGGTGCCGCTGCACCGACCCTTCGCGGATAAAATAGCGGTTCGTCGAAACGAGACTCGCGGCTGTCTTTATTTACATCGCTCCCTCCTCTCAGCTTAGTCTTTATACCTTTTCCGTTCTATCTTTCCCTCCCACCTCCCCCGCAACGACATGAAAAATTGCTAGACGAATTTCTTCCGAATCAATATCTTCGACTTAATTACCTTTCCACATGACTGTTTCTCTTGCATCCTTTTCCCCTTTTCTCTCTTTTTCTCTATTACCATTACCATCTTTCTCTAACGTCCCTTATAACATTTCTTTCTTATGTTGTGTTTATTCATTAAGGCGAAACGAATATGCGTTACGCAAATCTTGTTTGCAAAAATGTTTGATGAACGTAACGATTGCACCAAATATTTTAAGTAGGACAGACTGCAACATTCTTGAAATAACGTGAAGGCGGGGATACATAGAGCAATAAATACGAAGGAACGAAGTCAGTCATTTTTGCACATGGCTTAAGAAAAAATGTTTTTTAATAAATATCCAAAATTTGAATATGTTTGTTAAATCTTTGTGAGAGTCAGAAATAAATTGATCAGCTTTATCTTTGCGACTTTTTTTTTTACTTGCTTCGCTTTTCCATTTGCCCCGCCAAGCCTACTCCAGTCCGCTTAAACATCTCCCGCCTGCTCCATTCTAAACGAATGTAACGAAAATATTTACACGCTATTTAAAACATGCTTCTAAGACCCTTCAAAAGCGCGATACTTTGTGTCTCTTTATTTATCGCAAAAAGAAATATTTCTTGTGGGAACTGGATACGCAGCCACTAAAACTTTTATATATAGAACGAATGATCAGGATTTATTCCGACAAGCTCGATGTACGAATTGTGCGTGACCCGTAATATTAATATGTAATTAGCGTAGTATCGATTGTTTCTGCACATTCGATCGCACATTTTTAGATAACTCGAACTCGCCGTACGTATTTCATCATACCTTGCGATACTCTAAAACTAATTTATTGCACTATTTCTACGGTTATTAGCGACGATATGCGCTATATCTCATCGTTAATAACTTGTTACACGGATAATTAAGATCCGGCGAATAATGAAAGGAAGTATTACTCGGCGTTATTTTAGACACAGTCTAGGAGAAAAAGAAAAGGTAAATCGAGTCGAAATTTTAGTTCTACGTGAACATTTTTGTAAATTCTGTTGAACTTCAAAAACTTGAAGCGGAGAATCTTGAAATGTGACACTACGCAAGTTATCATTTTATTTTGATGCTACAGATATTTATTTTTTGATCTGTACTGTTAATTTCAACAAGCAATATACTGCATGACTTTCTTAACTGCGAATAGAGCAGGGAGATGGGCAAATATTAAATCATTAATACGAATACGTAATAAGATTAATAATTAAAGCTAACTTTGATAATATTCTTATTATTTTTTTCTCATTGATGTTATTCTAATCGACCACTAAACATTGTTTCGTTATCCAATTTTCATATGGCATATCATTTTTTTTTTAAGTATCAAATATTCTATAACGAACATTAACTTTTTTTAAATCGTCGTCAAATATTCTATAACGAACATTACTTTTTTTTAAATCGTTCCTTTGAGAATTTTTTTTCGTAAATATCCTTTTCATAATAACATAAATTTGATTTAAATTCAAATTAGTTTCTTGATTTGATATCATAAACGTCTCATTCAGATTTTATTTCGAATTCCCATATTACAAGCTTAAAAATATTAATTAGAATGAAAATGTCAAGGTAATAAAGTCGAGCGGTCTCACAGACCGGAGTGTGGCGAATGAAAGACTCAAAAATAAGTGTGACTAGAGAAGATTATTATTTATGGATCGTTATTTAGCCGTTTGGATCAAAGTTTTTTTTTTTTTATGAAACAAATGTACGTACGGATTGAAGAAAAATCAGAAATTCGTGAAGCAATCATTATTTATCAAATAATAACGTACTGTGTGAATACTAATCGAGATTTCGACTCGGGTATCTCCTTCTTTCTTGATATATCAATCCTCCTTATATATATGTTAATCATCCGTTAAAATCGAAAACTCCCGTGTATAATAAATGATTCCATATACTTGGAAATGTATGGTGTATCGCTATCCTCGTCTCCTTCATCCTGACTCCCCGATTCGGTATCCTGCCTCCTAGCTGCTCCATTGTGGCATTCCGGAATTTTCTCATATACTGATACTGGCATTGACACTCGCGTAGACACGATGATTTGATCGGAGAAACACGTGTTAATTAACGCAATATCGAGAGTCCGAATAAATATTTCAAGAACCAACGAAATATTCACGCGGCGGGAATCGTAACACACCGATACTCGATTGAGGATGCTTTATTTCATCTACATCGCTTGCCGGCTCGGAATACATTCTTTCACGGAAAACTACGCGACGCGCGACGATATCAAAACAATTGACAAAAAGGGCGAATCTATCCCCACCACACCGTCCAACGTCGTCGATCGCCGATGAATAGCCGGTGATCACAACAACCATCGCTATCAAAACAATTCGGACCTTCGTAGCGGTCAATGTTACCCACGCGTGTTTCATTGTTTTTCGAGCCGACGAGCGATATTACATCGCGACGTACGTGTGTCGGTACGTTAGTTATCATTTCTCGCGAATGATCGAAATATTTCGTGGACTCTTGAAATATTTAATCGGATTCTCATCGCGTTAATTAATGTGCGTATCGCCGATCAAATTGTATCTCACGCGAGCGTCAATATCAGTGCCACGACGGAGCAGCTGGCAGCCAAGATGCTGAATCAGGAAGCCGGGATGAAGGACGCAGGACGCTGGACCCCCGGGCAACGGTACATCGTATATTTCCAATTACTGAAATTATTTATTATAGAGTAAGTTTAGTGTTTTAATGAACGTTTGAACATATCAAGAATAGAGTGTTACCTGAGTCGAAATTTGTGCCGGTATTCGTATAGTCTGTCATCGTTAGAAATATAATTATAGCTCTAAGTAAATTTCTGATTATTCGTTAATACTTATTTCATCTTTGAATAAGAAATGTTGATTCAAACAACCAAATTATGGTTCACCATGATAAATCTGTAATTAATTATGCACTGAAAAAAAAAAAATATATATATATATATATATATGTACAACTATGGATATATCGGTCTTTGAATCTAGTAAATTTAACAAATATTAATTTGTGCGTCTAATAATACTCCTTGAGCCGCAAGTTCTACCTTAAATCTGCCAATGCTTTTTTTCTCACCTCTTATTAACTTGGTTATTGTTATCCACATTTAAATATCTATTGATGCGCGGTATTATTGTACATAACTGCTAATTTTGTCCTAACAATTTCTTTCTTTTTCTGTTCTTTTGAACCTCTAAATCGTATTCAAATTTTCAACGCGAATAAAAAGATAAAATAATTATGAATAAAGAAAATGTATCCTTTTTTGTTTACCCATTATAATCTCTTGACTTATTTCAAATATTAATTGCTTAATATTTGCTCGTTTCGTGTATTCCATTTGCAGTTAAGAAAATTATACAATTTAATACATTACTTATTAAAATTAAGAACAACGAAACAATGCAAAAATAATAAAATATTAACTAATTCTTTTTTTAAACATCAGCATGGGGAAAAGTGCAGTAAATAATCTTTTGTTGAATGAAAGTACAATAGCCAATTTGCAGGAATAATATGGAATGAAAATTTCGACTCGGGAATTTAGTCCAGCGGTCTTATCACAACGAAAATTCGTTATTTTTTCTCCTTATCACTGATAAGGAGAAAAGTGTGACGTAAAATCACGTATTA